CCCAGCCCAAACCCAGGGGCATGGTTCTGATATCACATGTCATGCTACTGGAGCAAAATAAAGCTTATAGGAACAGTGTAATTGCTGATATGGAAAAGAAGAGTACAAAAATAGATGACAGAAGTTGCAATAAAGCGTATTAGTTAGTTATGCGCTCAGTACAAGCCCTATACAGGTGATGGAAGTGGGGAGGAGCAGCAGTGGAAATTACAGGGAAAGCCCATCTTAGGATAGCCTACTCAAGCAATTGACCGAAATCTGGCAGTATGGCTCTCCCTGGATTCCAGAATCAATACCTCACTGCAGTAAGGTTCTCACCTTCTAGACATACTGCTTGGTGCTAACAAGTGTGTCTGTATTAACACCAAAGCCACAGCTTCTAAACACTTTGAATGGGAACAAACCAGCCCTTTTTCATGGCCATGCCGTCATCCTCCTTTTCCTCCCCAAGTTTCTTTGCCTCCCCACCACTCCTTCCTATAGCTGGCACCATATTACCATGTTACCACATTTTGAACTACACCCAGAAAAGGGTTAGTTAAATAAGCAATTAATTTCAGATATTTTTAATCAAAAGAGGGGTTAACTGGCAAAGGAACAAGCTGCTAGAGACAGAGCAGATAAGGCAAGTCAAAACGGCTTCTCTTGGGAACAGCGCTAGCATAAAGTTTGTGATGCCGGGATATTATAACATGATCAGGAGTCCTTCCTCACCAACAGGAGGGCCAAATTCTGTTTATAAATTTAAATCCAGCTCACATGCATTGAGCAAACAACAGTATTATTTCAAGCCTTCGCTAGTCGTACTTGTCTGCTACGCTCCTCTGCCTTTCCATGACAGAAGGAAACATGTGCCTCCACCTCCATAGTTCCAGTTCCTCCCAATACAAATGCACCATCACTGTGAAGCTGATGCCAAAAGAGAGGAAGAGCAAATAGCTTGGGGAGGACAGGCCTAAACCACTGCTGGAAGATTCAGAAGAGGTTTCATCTTCCCCCCTAGCAACTGTATTTCTTACCCAGACTGGAATCTCCCATCATACCGAGTATTTTGCATTTCAGGATGCATTTCCACTGCCCAAGACATTTAAGTTCAGCTCCAGTATAAAATAAATAAAGAGAAGCTAGCTATTGACTTGTCTATAATACTTGAAACAGAGCAAAGTATGGGAAAAATAGAGTAATCATTCAGGTATGGAGCTGCTTCTCTAGAAAAAGCATACTATAAATGAGACTGGGCAGCAGTACTGATAGGTTTGTCTGCTCCAACCCCATCATTGACATTTGTGAAGCAACTCATTTTACCTTTAGGACTCAGCCATATTCAGTAATCCAGAACACAGGTACCGTTGACTTTACTAATAAGATTATTCCCCTAATGTCTACATTACTCAGCCATTTAACACAAGTCTGCTATTCAAGATGGCAAGAGTAAACTAGCAGATGCTGATTAGAAGTATATGAAATGATACTATCTGGCAAATAGTGTGCTTTCTTAAAGATTATACAGGATAGTCTATACAACTATTCAGAAGACTAAACATAGCCATAAAAGCTTGTCAAAAGCAACTGTTACCTTGTATTTATTCATGTACATCTTCAGGTAGACAATGTACCTTACTGGCAGAGTGACACCACACAGACTATATTCCCTTTAGCAAACATGATGACTGCTAATCTTTAAAGAATGCAGATTTTTACAACACAGACTTCATTTTACACTAAGTAAAACCCCTGAACAATCAAACCTCACTTTATGCTAAATAAATACCCTGAATAATCAATATTCTGCTTAACACAAAGAGTATCTGTAAAACATGAGGCAAGTACAGTTGACAAAAATTCCCCTTCATGGAACTACACTGCTTTCATAAATGTAAATTTCTGTGACACATATTCAGATATAACGCCAGACAGTGGAGCAAAGTAGCAGTTGATAAGCACCCATTTATCAGTCAAATGAGTGTCTGGTAAGAGGTAGGCAGAATAGGTACAGGTTTAGCCAGAGGTAAATATTAAAGCAACTGAAAAGAGATTTCTAACAGAATGGTAAATGTGACTGCCATTCTAACATTCTTCTCTTTGCTTATTACAACCGTACAGTCCAGCAAAAGTGTTTGATCAGTAAATGTCCTTGATTCCTCCTAAGGTTCCTTAGCCCTTTTCCTACAGTTGCATTCACTGCCCTTGGAAAATAAATAAATAAAATGAAATCAAACCCCCTTCTCTGAACTCCAGATACCTCAATCTTATACAGGTCAAGGATGTTTTTGTTACCACACCCATTTTTTTTTAACCTCTCAATACCCTTTGATCATGGGCTGTTGTTACAATGGTGTAGGAAGAGCTTTGCTACAGCTGATATTATCTGCAACACTAACAGCAGAAACCTGAAGCATTCATGCTGCCAGCTGACACAACACTGGGTTTTTGCAAGGTGCTGCAAAACTTTTAAAATAATTTTAATCTGCATAAAAATGGACCAAAGAGACAAAGACCAAAATAAAACCTCTGTTCTGAGAATTAAACATTTCATGTTCTCCCTGGTGCAAGAAGAAAAACAGAAAAAAGAAAACCAGAAAAAAACCAAAACCAGAGAGGCTGTGATCATTGCAGAACCATTACAGCAAATGAGTTACTATCCTAATGTCTAATATAATGTGATAAGCATTTTAATATTATGCACAGTAAGCCTCAACACACAGGGGACATCAGTATTATTACTGAAAAAAAAAGAAAAAGAAAAAAAAAAAAAGCAGAGAACACTGATGTTTCCCCTTCTCTTTTTGAGGATGTATTTTCTGTCTTCTTGCACCATACTTACCCCTGGAGTATTTTATTATCCTATTGCACTAAGCTGCAGCACATTATGGCTCCACATATGCTGGCTGTTTCAACTTCTTGCCAGGGAAAAAAAAAAAACCCACACAGGAACAAGCCTCTTCTAAAGAACTAGCTTAGATCTTCTTAATACATCCCTTGCTTTGCTGGAAGTTGAAGGAGGCAAGGTCAAATAAAAGTCCCTTGTATGCAGTGCAGGTGGAAAGGTTTGTTATAGTTCTTACTTGTGGAGGAGTTTATTAATTGCAGACTGAACACGTCTCCCACACAGGAGAATGTTCACCTTCCTAATGTTCCATTTCACTGAGATGAGATGCATTTCTCCATCATTATGTACAAACCTCCCCTCTTGATGAATATTCAGACTCCAGCAAAGTTAAAGAGCAAATTTGCAACAGTATAAAATAACTGTTTCCAAGTTTATACTCAAATCCTTTAGAGAACAGTTCTGGGATATAATAGCAGTAATTTAGTTTTATCAAATCACTTCCATTTCACATCAAACCTACAGTCCACATGTATCATAGAAGCTCACAGTCAAACATGAAGAGAAAGTAAATTCCACAAATCTCAAGCCTGTTCATGTTTAACCTTCTTTTACAAAAAAAAGTTAAGAATGTAGAAATAATCTCTTAAAAACCTAAATAATTTCACTTAAACGCAATGGGCTTCTAGAGTTAGTTATCCAACAGGTGCATTTTCTTCCAGGAATTCTCTTGCTTTGTACCCTGAACTAATATTTGCAATAATCAAAATACACCTTGCACGAGAGGTTTGAAAAAAGCTGATTTTATCTCTGTATAAGTTTCTCACAACCACATAAATGACCACCCAGTTACTACGGAAAGAGGATATATCAGAAGGAGAAAGCATTTTGGCTCAAACACCTCCTCCCTCACAAAACTGGCATTCAGATTTTCATGAAAAAGCAATCTACATGTACGTATGTAAGTTCCCGTGTTTTAATGAAAGACGCAAAAATCAAACATCTTTGCAGAGAACAAAAAACTGGCAGACTCCTACATTCAATCCAAAATGAAGTATTAAAGATGTCACTTTATAGCAGCAACCTGATTCCAAAAATTTCAGTTGTTACAGCAAGCATGGTCATCACTTACTTTTTATATTTTGATTAAAGTTATCAGACATGGGAACATTTGCTTTAAAGTGAATTAAAAAAAGTGAGTAACAACAAATATAGCCTCTTCAAGTGATATATTGCAAGATTTCTGGTTTTTAAATGGAATCTCTGCATTGATCACAAAAAACACACCTATTTTAGAGACACCGATGAACAAAATTGTGTTAACATTGTAAGACAACACAGTATGGACAGAAAGCGTTTTAACCGGTAAATGAAGGATTCCAAGTTTCTCCTTTAACAGTATAGCATACTGCAGAAAGAACTGCAATATACACCACAGCTTTTGCTTCAAGATTTTGCATGGTAAATTGTCGAATCTCTACTGTTTTCCATCCCTGTATGTTAAAGCTTAAGTTTATATCTGATTGTTCTATTATCAAATTTAAGTTGCAGCAAGCTTAACTCCATTATGTCGTTATATCTGCAAACAATTAAAAACATTCCCAATATGATATGCCGTATTAGTTTGAAACATTAATAACAGTATTCTCCCTTATTTTTAATTCTTTTCAGAGAAATACCTACTCAGTCTTTAAAATCATTGTTGAACACTCAGCGTGTGGCTGAACAGAAATAATGTTGAGCTAACAGCTACCTCAAGGGTTACTGATGCAACTGGTGATAACAGAGATTTAAATTACCTTCTCCCCAAATTTGTCCAGAATACAAGAATTCTGAAACATTCCCCCTCTGCCCCCTTCACTTCAAAAGAAGTATTTTTTTATTCACTTCTGACTGAGATTCTTCATTATGTAATGCCTGTGCAAAGGGAGAATTTGTCTTTTATACCTTCCCTTCCCAAGAGACTGAATGTTTTCAGGGCAGTGAGTGTTTTCAGAGAAAAAATTGACTATGTACAGCCTTTCAAGTTATAAATATAAACCAATGGAAATCAAGGCACTCAAGGTAGTTACGTATGAGCAAAAAAATTATACCGCTGAGAATAATAAGCCCAAATCATAAAGTGAGATTATCAGCAAATGTGCAACTGGGAATAAGGTGAAATCTCATTCTTTTACAGCTTTGGCCTGAACTTGCCAGAAATAAGCTTTTTAAGCATTTCAGAATTTTTTCCTTCTGGTGGTGGGGGCCATCTGTCATGATCTGAGGAAAGCAAATAAAACAACATACTTAGTTGACTGAGAAACTAGGCATTTTACTTCTGTGTCCTCCCATTGCCCAACTTCAATCACTTGAAGGGCATTGTTTTGTAGCCCATTTCTTACCGGGTATTTCTAAGGTCTGTCCATACAAACTTTGGCCACCATCCACAACCACGGTTATCCCAGTTACGTAAGAAGCAGCTGGAGACAGTAGGAAGCACACTGTAGGAGAGATCTAACAAAAGAATGACAACTTTAAACTGCTCTTAAACTGCTTGGAATTGTTCATGTCAAAGAGGCTTGTAAAAACTTTTACAGACAAGACATAGCAACGCTTTCTACTCAGTAATGAAAACCGAAACAGCCTTAAAGCCATCTTTCCAGCCACAAACATCAAGTACATAAGAGATGAAAACCAGTAAGTTCTCAAAGATCAGCATCAAATGCCGAAAATCAAACAAAAAAGTTGACTAGTTTATCAAAGATGCACATTCGTGGCAGAAGAGCACTAAATTTTTTTTACAATACACTTTTTTCACATTAATAGTCATTCTTTCAGTCCTCCCTGCTGGATGTCAACCTTTTCAGGAACTAATGTCTACTATGAAACACTTCAGCTGTAAGTGGCATCTAAATTAAATTTTCAGTGTAACAGTGACCACTGGTTAAGTCTCCCACTTGGCACTACTACACATTACTACAAGCTTTTTTCTTCTTTAATATTCCATCACAGTGCAAAAATAAGTCTTTTTTGTTCTCCATATAATAAAGTGGCTTTAAAATAGAGACACAGAAGTAGAAATATCACAAATGACTGAAATACATTACCTCCTCAGGAACCGCTGACCTCTTGGCAGGAATCTTTGGCATGCTCTTTAACCATAACATTGAACCTTGTTCTCCATAGTTTGCAACAGCAGTTTCTGAAAATACTATTCCCTATTTTAAAACAGCATAGTGAAAATTAAGTTCTCTTGCATATGTTTAATCTGTGATCATTGTACAATTGTGAGGTCATTACTGGGATTTTCTGTATGATTAAACTTTCTAAACAGCACTTGATTGCAAGTTTTTAAATTTAATGGAATAGTGTAATTTATACAAGAATGTAATCTGGCTGCTAGCCACATCTCTATTCAAGCATAATAATTCAGATTATTCCAATTCTCTATTGTCACTTCAATAACTATAAAGTGGACAGTATAAAGAAGAAACTCAAAGACTGTTCTGAAATTACAAGTATTTCATAATTAGTTTACAGTAGAAAACTACAAAGCTCCCAGAACAAGTTCTCAACAGTTTCTTGTAATCTGTAAGAACACTAGATTGATTTTATTATGAATTATGGAAGCAGACAGATTCCACAGTCAGAATTCAGACTTTCCCTAATTAGCTGCTATAGAAATAGAAAAATGTGACTGTCTTTGCTTTGATGATTATACAGTCCAGTTTAGACTTGAGAGGGAAGATGAAGGCTACAGCAATGGGAACACAGGGTTACATAGATTAGCTATGACAGAACCTTTGGGACTCAAGTTTAAGTAAGATAACAAAATTTGAATTCATCCATGGAGTACATGCTAGGATTTCTCGTCTAAGATATTTGTGAAATGTGAGTGACTACATTTTGGGAGCTAGGGAAGTAACTCATATGTGAAACTATTTTTTTTTAGAATGCATGTTTCCCTCTCTATGTACCCATTCCCTACATGTTACTCGGCTTGTATAAAGCAGTAACAGTTTTGTATGGTTACCACAGACCTAGTGTGTCCATAAAGGTGACAGAAAGATATAAAGTATTACTGTAAGTACAACATGGATTTTTGTTACCAGCATAGTAACAAAGCTACCAAATACTTCTGAAAGAGCCAAACCACTGAAGTGTTTGCTTGCCAAAAACTTCTTTTGACATATGCTATAAAGTGTAATTAGTATGATTCCTTAGCTAGTTAGCATGCCTGAAAAATACATTTACTTAATAATGCTGTCTTAATTACTTACTTCCCCAAGACCTAATAAATCAGAAAAAAAACCCCAAAAACAGGAAAAACAAGCCAGTAGATCTTAATATTTAACAAGTCTCCAGATGAGTTGGGCCTCACAGGGTCTACATAAGAGCCACTACCTGAATGATCATCACACAGCTGCCATTAAGCATTCTGTGCTATGCCAAAGAAAGCAAGACAGATTTTTTAGGACAAGAGGCACAACAGGATATAGAGACATCCTACAAAGACAGTAGAAAGATCTTCCTATGGACCAGTTAAACAAATCTGACACTTAACTATACTGTGAGATAAGATAAATTCTGAATGTAGAAGTGGCTGGAAGTTTACCTTTCCTCTTTTGTTTTCAAGGGAGTAAATGTGCAAAATGTGGTTAAGAGGGAAGATTACACAAATCACAACAGATCACACCATCTCAAATGTCAAAGCTAGGGCTTCTATATAACTTCTGTATCTGCAACACCATGCACTAGAAAAATATAGCTGCTCTTTCCATACAGTTATTTAAAACAACTGCTACATGCTACCTACTTCCTCAGAAATGTGGAAGGCATGTTTTAGCTGACCTGTATAGTGGTTTCCTGTCTGCATATATTTGATAAGAAAAAAAACAGAACACACATTTTTACATATAATTTCTTTGAGAGAAGGTCTACTCCAAATACAGTCCTTTTGTGCCTAAAACTAATCTAACTTAACATGTAGAAGACAAAGTAAAAGATGTTATGTGACACATTCAGAGATTTTCAAAATAACTTTGTAAATACAGGTGGAAACCATCAGCATACCTGAACCTCAAATAAAAAAGTTTTGTGAACTCAGAAATAATATAATCATTACTGAAACACAAAGCATTCAGTAATTTTATGTCAAGGGTTTGTAAGACAGGTCACCAACTCCTCCCAGGTATCACTTCATAAAGAAAGGAAAAAAAGAAAACCACAAACAGTGCCAAGTCAAAGGAGAAAGCAGAAGCAATTTTATAACACATCTCTGGCTTGTCATCCAAACAGTACTAAATACTCTTAAATGACCTGAAGAATGTAGATTAGGGAGCTATAAACACATACATAAGTAATCCACAAACAGCTACAGGCTATAGATTTTAAAACCCCTTTTGGTCTGAAAGTGTTAACCATGAACATGTATGATGGCTAAGTTTAATCGGATCATTTGCCATTACTTACAGGAGCAACGCTGTTGATTCTTACTCCACTGTGGGCCCATTCTAAGGCTAAACTCTTGGTTAGGTTACCCACTGCAGCTCTTGCAGCTGCTGTATGCCTGTTGAGAAAAGAAAGCAAAAGAAGCATCTGTTCCCTCAGCTATGCCCAATGTTAATTCCACCGCAGCCTCACTAGGGCAGTCAGGGTAGCTTTCTGTGGCTGGACCAACCATCCGAGAGAGAGATTTTCTAGTTTGTAAGTTTGACCATAGCTTCACAGTTTAAACAAGCTATGCTATGATTTCCTGTCATTTCTGGAAATACTTACCATCTCTTCCCCAATGTGACATGAGGTCTGCTACATTCTACTGCAGAAGCAGGCTTATAAAATGAAAACCAACTGGAAGCAAAGTTCAAACTTTGTAAAACTGCAAAAGGCACAGGTAAAGCAATACTTTGAAGGACGGTGGTCTGAAAAATAGTTTAGATCTTCTGACAAACATGATTAAAACAAGACACTATTCAAAAATTACTATAGGTGAGTGGAGATAGAGATGACCATAGGCAGAATGATCTCGTACACCTTCCTGCTATAGGAAACTAGTCTGAAATGATTACAAGCTTGAACAAATGCAGACAAAATTACTGCACTGATTAATAGTGGACAGTGGGACGTAGAGAAAACTAACAGAGTTTAGTTCATTAAGCCTAGCATAACAAACTTAGAGGAAGTGATAGGACAAGAGGAAATGGGCTCAAGCTGCGCCAGGCGAGGTTTAGATTGGATATTAGGAGAAATTTCTTCACGGAAAGGGTAGTCAAGCATTGGAACAGGCTGCCCAGAGAGGTGGTGGAGTCCCAGGTGGAGAATCCCTGGAAGCATTAAAAAAACGGGTAGATGTGGCGCTCTGGGACGTGGTTTAGTCTAGTCTACCCTTGATTGGTTTGGTGTGGACTTGGTAGTGTAGGTTAATGGTTGGACTGGATGATCTTAAAGGTCTTTACCAACCTAAATGATTCTATGATTCTATGAAATAGATACAACAGCTTCTCAAATACCAGAAAAGGAATAAGAAAAACTTAAGAAAAACATAAGAAACCCCAACTTACTCATGTGTTTAGGCCAGAAATAAATAACCTCCAGGCACACTATGAGCAAAGAAACTTGACTAGCTTTACGTTCAAAATTAATACTTATGAAGAACTGTATCAGGTGATTTTTGGCATGAGTGGTGGCTGGACTTGTAAAGGCAAGTCTTTTTCAATAGTACATTTCTAAAACAAGTATCAATTCAACAGGAATTTAATTTGAAAGTAGTTTTGTCTGTGCATCTACATCCGCACACAACAGTTATTTGGGAAACTTTTTTCCACTGCTATTCAGAATTAGGTCTTTTTATGTCTTGGTTCAACTCTCAAATATAGCTTCAGCCTATTTGCCGTGACAATTCAACCAGACTTAACCAGAGTGGAGACACTCAAATAACTGTAGCTTCAGCACCACCCTGTGGATCTCTAAATTTATTTTGCACTGCCAAGAACAAGCTAGTGAGAAAATATCCTGCTGTTCCTTAAAAATTTTAAATTTTGAAAACTTTCAACCCTGAATCAGGACAAAGAGAGCTACTGTAACACTTGCTCAAATTATATTTTTATATTTTCTTCAATAGAAATTCGATTTCAAAGTTAAAAAAAAAAAGAAATGCAGTTTCAAAGAAGAAAATCAGATTTTTTTCAATTCAGAAACTGTCAAAATGCAGCATTTTGACAACTTCAAAATTTCCTTTGGAAAGAAAATAACTGAAACAATTTTCTGAGCATTATTTCTTTCAACAAATTGGAACTTTTCTGGTGGAAAAGTTTCAAAGCGGAAGACTCCTGCTCACCTCCATTTTGAGGGTACAGAAATTTGAACAAATATAGTACACATACGGATATGGAGAGGATTCTGCATTTTCATGCAGACAGCTGTGAACATTTGTGTCAGTATAAAAGAACTACAAACATGGTAATATGTTTGTACCCGTGAGCCTTCTCTCAGTCAAGAAAGGAGCAGAGCAAATAGAACCGATTCTCTGCATCAGAGACCTTCTCCAAGAAATATGGCTACAAAGTGAGAGTAAAAAGGAACATGGGAAAGGCAGGCATTATGTGATCCAAAGGACAAATCCAAAACCTGGTAACATATTAGAAATGTTCCTCCTACTCCCCTCCTCCCAGTCCAACTCCCATAACTCACTATACCATCAAGACCTGTAAACTGACAGTAGAAGAGAAAAACAACAGGTGCCAAGCTCTTGCAAACCCTCCAGAAATTTGGAGAGAGAACAGGTAAAGGTTACATTTCAGTGTAACTAGTCTCACTAGCATACCATGTCCAGTGAAAGCTTCACTGGCAAGTCTTGCTTCATAGTTTCTTACAAAAAAGTTGACAGAGACCAGAGATGTCATTTACTCCTGTAGTCTCTACTGAATTAGTAAGAGATCCCCACACATACAGCCAAGTGATACTATTGCTCTCTCTTGACCTAACTACTGTATTTCTATACTCTGCTGCTGCCCAGTGCACACCTTTCTAAAATGAAGTGTTTAGGAGCAATTAGTACTTCTAGGGGAAAAATATAGGAAAATGTAAAAATAAAACATATATTACGACATTCCAGGAAACCCATTTCTCACGGCAGCAGTAATGTTGACAATGACTCCTCCATGTTCCTGCATCCAGGCGTTGTACACTGTATGAAGGAGGAAGATAACCTATAAATATCAGAACTGCATACAAATGAACTTGCCAACCGGAAGCCAAATTTGGAATATTAACTCCAACTACACTACACATTTCCTGTGCACATTTAGATAAACAATCTGCTCTTTGTACCATAGGCTCACCACTGGATTGGTGAGATAACAGGTGTGGTCCAGGTAAGGCTCAATGTTTGTCAAGTAGCCTTTTGGTGGAAATCAAGGTTTCATGCTTCCACATAAATTACCTTCATTTCCATGTTCCCAGTGTTATCTGAATCATGTATCATACTTACATTTAACTTTAAATTTACATCACTGATGGGAGAGAAACCTTTTCCTGTGTTATATACAGTGAATACAGGCCACAGAAGTTAAGTGGTTTTCCTATAGTCTTTTAAGTGAGTATCCAAGACAACTGACTCCCCAAACCTGGCCTTAACCAGAAGATCATACTTGCCCAAATGTATGTTTGTATAGGACAAATGTAAGGTACAGTTTAATGTAATAAGATTCATGAAAACAAATACCCACTCTCAGATAAGTGTGTGAAAAAAGAAAGTAGAGAAACTTTACATTTCTTGTCTTCTAGTATTGCTGTAAAAAACCCAAAACAAATAAACAAAAAAAGCTTCATGTTCAGTCCTTACCTGCTTTGCAGCAGTAGAAGGTCCCTGTCAGATTCGTGTCTATCACAGCATTCCAGCCTTTTGCACTGATGGCTTCAGAAGGACTTGCAAATTGTCCCCCTCCATTATTCACCAGGAAGTCAATCTTCCCATGCAGACTCAGTGTAGACTTCACCAAAGCTTCTACCTGAAACAATATTTATTAGTGTGGTATGCTGATTAAGCTATATACCTAATTTCATTCTCAGACAGTGTTTTCCCTTTCATATCCTTTTCACACATGAAGAGGAGATACCAGCCTTCAGAGAGGCTGGAAGATCAGTATGACAGGTTTAGTCAGCCAAGAAGGATTGGGCTGAGTCCATGTTTACTTAGGAAATCTTCCTGGTTTAATGCAGGTGCTACATAAAATACCAGCACTGAAAGAAGAAGGCAATTTATGCCACTGAAGGTTTCTAAAAACAAACACACACAAAAGCCTGCTACTTAAGACCTACTAAGAACCTCCTGTCATTTTTCACAAGGGTGGGGGTGTTCACATCAGATGTTGGAAGAGTTCCATATAAGGTAGCTACTGTTTTTTTTTCATCTGACCCATATACCTGAGCATTTTCTATAGAAAACATAAGTCATCTTGTGAAGTTTTAACATTCTTATCTAGAAGTTTTGTACATTCACTAAAGCTCTGACGTGAGTTGGCAATAGCCAATCTCCTTATGCAGACCAAGAAGGTCAGTTTGTTACCCCACAAAAAATGAACTTTGAAAAGTGCTAGAAATACTACAAGTTGTCTTCTTTAGCAAAAGAAAGGTGAATATTTGACTAAGCAGATACCTTCTTTCTATAAGCAGGATGAATACTTACGATTAAGAGCACCGTCTGGCACTATTTAGCTTTCGTTACTCTGAGAATGTATTAACAGCAAATAGCAATAGACATTTCATTCACTCACTCAAAGAGCTGTCAGTGCAGAAAAGGAGTGGCTTAAGTTCATATGGAAGGAAAGAGATTTTGAGAATCTAAACCTAGCTCTAACACTGACCTAATCTGAGCTACAGACTGTAAGCTAAGTCTTTTGCATTGTCTTCTGTTTTGGAAGTACAGCAGTTTCGCCACACACTCACACCAAACACAACAAAACTTCTGGAGGGGAACGTATTTCAAAGCATTCAAAGACTTTACAGGTACCAAAGCTGATGCATTTTTCCTATTACAAGATAGTAATAAGAACTCTATAGCAACTGCTTAATTAACAAAAAAAGCCCTTGAAAAACAAAACATCCATGACAACAGTCCCAAACCCATGACTTGTGAGAACCACCATGCCACAAAGACTTCCAGGTTTGCTCACAACCAGAGAAAAGTAAGTTATGTCTCTCTAGGCAGCAAAAGTTATGCTTTCTTCAGCAATATCAAACTCTTCTCCCTGTCAGCCTGAGAATCTTGCTTTGACTATTGTTCCCCATAAATCACTGAAGTATGGGCTCATTTATGGAAGAGAAATGGGTTCAGTACAAGGAATGTTTGAACAGACTAAGGCTATTCAGGCTGGGGGGGGCAGGGGAAGAGAGAGAGAGAGAGAAGGGAAAATGCTAAGAATCATTAAAAAAACCCAACAAATGACAAATTAACAGAAGAAAAATCCACTGGTAAGAGACATTACAAGCAAGTTTTCAACAGGTGGACAAAACCTGTTATGACATATCAATTCACAATGGTTCACATGTTGTATCTTAAGAAACTCTGTTGTTGTTCCTACTTGTCGCATCATATTCTCAGGGCAATTAAAAAAAAAAAAAACAAACATGTATCAGTTCTGCTTTCTGAAAGCCAGCAAAGGCTAGCAGGCTCTCCAGTGACAACTCAGATGGCTCCAACTGTAGCAATCTTCACATTGTCTTCTGTGTTGTAGAGAAAGCATCGTTGCAGTGCTTCTCCTAATTACAGTAAATATGGTGACAGCAGCCACCAGCACAGTGAGAAAGAGGGTCTGGTAGAACACATTTAAATCACAGTGACAACTAAAGAGGATTCCTTTCTATTCCTAAATATTCAAAATCCACATGGATAGAACTTCATAAAAAAGCTACTGAAGACTCTCTCTGGAAGCAAAGCAAAACTGCACAAGGTAGAGCTAACAGTTTAGGACGTTCTTCTGAAAAAGACCAAAAAGAACAACATCAGGCACTTCAGACATAACCAGAAGACTGGAGCTCTTCAGCAAGGACCTTTTTTTGTGTGACTGCAACTGAAGAGTGTTATGCAGGAGCACACTTTCACAGATAACTGAGATGACAGTACTTGCTGACACAGAGAAAAGAGACAAATGTCCACATGCATTCACAGGTCACCTTGAACTTGAGTAAAACTCAACAGGCAAACTACCCACTACAGAGTGTTAGAGATTTGCTATTTCAGGACTAGAACTAGCAGGCATTCTTGCACAGTGATTACAGGTATTTTTACTTTGTGTTATTGCTGTGTTATTTTAAAGTACAACAGGTATCTCTTACCCACAGCTCCCCACCAAGCCATAGTCTTCCACTAGAGGTTTCACACAGACTGGCATTAAGTATTTATAAACTAATTGAGACTATGTTAAGCTATAAAGTTTATTGGAAAAGAAAAGGTACTAGTGAACTCAGACACAAGGTAAGTGCTAAACAGTACCTCCTTGGGGTCTGGTCCAGCAGCAGTTGTTGTTGCTGGAGCTCGAGTACGGAAAGGGGACACTGTGCACAGAATTCTGAATTGCTGATTTCAAGAGGAGCAGTGGCCTACTAGAAGTACAAGGTTTTATCTTCCACTTACCTAGATATGCCTTCTATTTATCTAGATGCCAGTTAAAGAAACGTTTGTCCAGAGCATATAGCACAAAGGCTTTACAAGGGTAAAAAGTTCCTCATGTCTGTCTTTCCCCTGTCAACAGATTTGCTGTACCTCAACATTTAAGACACACAAACACATGCTTCCCCTTCCAAACACCTACAAAGGTAAGTGGAAAGCTCTTTTCATAATGGAAGAAGGATGGGGTCTCTCTCCTCCACTCTGGCCACCATTACATTGAGGCACTGGAATTAATTAATTAGATCCTTGGATTGTGGAAAAAGAGCTTGGTTTGAAAAGACACACACACAGAGCTGTCAGGCCTGCATCTCAGCAAGAGCAAAATGACCTGCTCTAGTTATATTCAACACATTACGTGGACAGTGCTAGAAAATACCCAAATAATTAAAATCACTTCAGCTTCATAATCACTAAGAAGCAATATTGATCACTACATACACTCCAGACGATAGAATAAGGGACAGGTGCACAATTACTGCTTCAGGATAAGGCCCCATGAAGACAGGACATAGAAACCTCAGGTGCTCTTACCAGCATCCCAGAACCCTCTACTCTTCCATCTTCAAAAACAAAACAGGTTTGTTATCCTTTACAAAACACTTAATGGAAAACTAGCCAAAAGCAGCAGCAGCAATCGTGTGACAGAAATAATACTGACAGGTTATGCAGTGGTTGAAAATCCCCCATCAAGCAAGATTATTTCTTGCACATTAAACGAAAAGTAAGCTTTGCTATAAAGCAAGAGGGCCTCTGAGGATGAAGATTAAGGGACTTAAAAATGTTAATTCATTCAGCTATTCCCATGACATCTGCCAACAAGCTTCTGCAACAATTAATTCACTGCACCTTCTTTGACTCTTCCTAGGCCAGAAAGAACTCTAACAGACATATTGCACTATATGATGAGGGATGAATCTTCTAATGCTTGAATTTCACAGATCCAAACTAGGGCACACAAGAGGAACGAGCTGTGTCATCTTCAAAGCAGGTAAGTTACTTTAAGAATTGCAACAGGAGTGGGGGAAAAAAAAAATCATCTGGCAATTTTTAAAGCACTTTCATCTTTCTTAGATCTCCTCTATTCAAAGTCCCTCCCTCCAGTTTGCCTGATTGTAAAATTAAAACCAGGACAAAATTAATATGGGCCGTTAGAGAAACTCAGAACAACGGATGGAGATGGAGGGATGAAAAAAAAGAAAGTATGCTACAGTAAGAACAGATGGCTTGTTCCTACAGGTGATCACAGTGGCTTGCTTTAAGAGAAAGATTTACTCTTAGAAAGGTTTCAGTGAGATGTCAAAGACAAGGATATACTAAATGAATTATGTAGCTCTTCAGGAAGCGTCCTGGGCTTTGTAGCTTGTGATGGATCAGTTCTGACATCGAAGGAGGCTTGAACTCCTAAGTTTTTTCCCCTGTTGAAACAGTTATAAGGTCTTGCTGCTTCACACATTCTTTGGTACCTAGTATAAGAGACAAGAAAGAGGATGTAATAACTCACAGGGAATACTTGCAGAGGCTGTCCTCTCTACCCAACAATGCACTTCCATGAATTTCTGAGGTAAATACTCTTCACTCATACTAAGCTGAAACCAGACAATGAGTTGTAAAGCTATTAATGAGTAGCATTAATGAGAGCCAACACAGTTGTACAAGTCTTGTTTCTTTTGGGAGGGAAGCCAAAAGTTAAAATGCCTTCTCACCGCAACTTCTACTGTAAATAGGAAGCTACTCCTGCATTCATGAAAACTCTGAAGTTATATTGCTGTATTGCCTCCACCCAGTATTTACCTCCTAGGCTAGAAAAATGCTTCACTACATCTTTTACTGATCCCTGTTCCTAAGACTCCAAGCCCCAGGGACTGAATTTTAGGTTAAGAATGGAATAGTGTTAAAGGAGCAGCTGCTGCCTGAGCATTCACACCATTCAGGGAGTCGCACACACACCACCCGAGACGTTAACTGCTAGGACCAGAGTCCCTTCGCAGTGGGCAGCTCCACTGAGCTGACGGGTGCCCCTTTTCAACTCCCCATACACTCACTTTCTCTCGGGTGCGTTCTTTCCCCTCAGGCTCAACGCTAGGTTTTCCCAAAGCAGAGTCTTCGACATGACATACACCAGGCAGATTTATTGAGTGGTACAGCCATAAACGACAGCTCGAGTGCTGTCAGCTGGGTGCCTCCAGAGAGGGACCCTGAACAAAGAAATCCTTAGGCAATTATACCCTTACAATTTAAGTTCCCCTCCCCTCACACGATGTTCAGTCCAATAGCAATATTTGGGTCTGGGGTCTTCTTATTCTTTATTGGATCCTTTGTCTCTAGGTAAGACGTTCCTTCTCTTACCTTAATGGATACAGCTTCTGCTAATGGTTGTGGCTACCTTGTCTTTCTGGTTTTCACTGGTGTCAGGGCCTTGTTTCCTGTAGCTAAGTAGGAGTTCAGCATACAGTCAGCATATCTAGGTGAAAGTTCACAGTTTGCAGCCCAAGGCTTTAACAGGCCTTGCTACTAACACTTTGCATTAGACTCAGAGCTAGGTAGTGCCTTCTGCAACAATAGGTTTTGAAGGTGGACATATGATGCTCTTTTAATAGAAGTAAAAGCCCAAAGGTACTTTACCTCTGCTCTGTGCAAGACAATCAAGTGTGAATTACAAAAAAAGTACCTGCCATTGCTGCTCTTAGCAAATATAGTAAATAAGCAATAGTGAGCAGTGGGTTGTGGAAAATCTGCCACATCCCTCAGTTCTAAGTTCTGACAGATTTTAGCAGTGTAAGTTACCGATTGTTAATTTATCTACCTTCAACTTACAAACACTAAGCACCTAAGTGTAAGGAAGTGCTATCCTCACTACAGTTTTAAAAGCTGATAATGTGATCCACACATTTCTGGTCCAATAGTAATTTTAGAAATTAAGTAACAAGTGGATTTAGCAGTCTTTAAGAATCTCAGCTTTAAAGAACTAACGGAGGAGGACAGAGCCAGGAAAACAAGAGCTAAAGAACAAAAATCACAGGATATCTCTAACCAGTAAAAATAACTGGTCCTGGAGATGGGCATCTGGAATAGATAAATATTTGTTTAGCGGGTACACTCAAGTTCTTATGTTAACATGCAACAAAAATTGCGTTCCGTATTCAAAACTTCCACAAAAGGCTCATGAAATTTTCATAGTGGTTTTTTTCTAAATAGGACTTCAACAGAAAGAAGTAAGAGTAGTTGGAGAACTAAAGCAAGTCTAACTATAAGACTGAGTCAATGACTGAAAAATTCAAGACTGGAGTTTAATCTACCTTATTCCTCTGAACCCTCTCTTCAATAGATACAGATATGAAATGACAATGGTTTATGCGAACAGTGGAAGTTCCTTCCAGTGGAAGGAAGGAGACACCTGATAGAGGCTTCTCTAATGTCATATGAAAAGTTCTAAGAAAATTCTGGTGTGTCTGTAAATGAGTAGAGCTTAAAACTAAACTGGAAACAAAACAATTCTATGATGAAACTGCAGGGTAATCACAAAGACAGAAGTTTCTCCAAGTATCAGCATGGCTACCGGTAACACAAAATAATGACTAAACACTTTACACAGCACTATAAAAAAGGCTTTAAAAGCACCTTCAAAAAAGTTTCCAAAGCCATCTAAGACTATTTTGTCAAATATCTATTTAGCTACACTTAATAAATAAGAAACAAAGAAGAAATGGTAGTTTGTTTAGTGGAGGATTACCTCATTTCACCATCCAAGCCCTCTACCATCTCACAGAACACTGCAGTTCCCACTAAATAATTTTTGAACTGATGCAGAAGTAAGATTCACCTGCAGAAGGTTATTAAGCAAGCCAGAGTACTTTCTGCAAGAACAGTGATGTGAAAGAAGGCTTAAACCTTTTTCCCGCTCTTTACCTTTTTTCTTTCCTATAGCTTTAAACATCTAAGTTGCCCTCTGACATCTGTCATAACCTATTATATCACGCTGCTGATGCTAGTAAATACAAACCTAAAATTCACTGGTAGGTGAAGTGACATGCTGCACAGCCCCAGGATTCATCTCCTTCAGGAGAGAAATTGTAAGTATATCACTATAAATATTTTATAGCACGAGCTGTTCCATGAGGGAAGAATTTTATTTTTTATTTGCTTTATGGTTGTACATCAGGATATTTCCAAAATCTACATAGCTACTGAAGGTCATTAATATTTCTTTAAGTTATGCTAGAATTTAACAAAGACTTTGAAAGGTTAAGAAAAATGTAGCAATCAGTGGTTACTGGAATATTTTCTAGTTGTCTTCAGTAAGTTAAAAGTCCAACCCGATACTGGAATTTTAAACATTCAATTACACAGATTAAAAAAATTAGGAGGTCAATGCAGACTTCTGAAGAACGTGGATTAAATAGTTTTGATCTTCCTTTTTTTGTAATATGAAGACAAAAGAAAAAACTCAACTGGGATAATAATAGTTTGTAATGAGGCACACCTCAAATTGTAACCAAAATTGAAACATGGCCGAAAATAATATCATCTGTGGGGGTTTTTTTTGCTTTAATACAAGCAAAACTGACAATGCAGAGCACTTGTGTCAAGTCACGAGCACTGAGATTCCATGCTATGACTTCCTGTTTGAAGGAACTATTCCAAGGTCTCCACCTTCACAAGTTAACGCACCCTCACTGCTGTCACAGAAATGTGATACAGAACCATGCTAAGTCAGCTCCAGCTTGGCTGTAGAACATGCCAGTTCCAAGCCCTGCTTCTCCCAGAAATATCCGAAATACGGATGCATGGTCAGCAAAATATTTGCAATTACAAATGGTTTTCCCTGCTTAGATGGCTAACAAATGGTTTTCCCTTGGGAAGCACATCTTTAGATCAATTTAACAGTACTTTACTGCACCTTTCCCCTGATCTAAGCCACTCTTGAGAGGGCCAGAGAAGACCTTTGGAGATCTGAGAATTTATATACACAATATGCTTTTGACATGTTAAGCCCCAGAACAAGATCACTAGTCTTTACCTCATCTTCTTTGCGGATATTGCACTGCATGGGAGTCACTTTGGCAGGACTCATGGAAGAAAATGTATTATTCAGTTCTTCTGCAGCAGCTTTTAATCGGTCAAATTTACGAGAGGCAATAACAACACTGCAACCTGTAGAGACAAAATGAAACATCCTTCAGCTAACATTGTTAAAATTACAGTTATGCTAGTTTTTTAATAACATCGTGGACATACCTTGTAGGATGCGTGTTTATTAGTCACTGACTAGAAGACACAGTGTTTAAGTTCTTGCAAGAGAGAGAAATGATTGATATCAAGTGCTTCTTAGCAACAAGGTCCCACTGTGCCAGGAAAAGAGCAATCAAAAAAACATCCACAAAGTTCCCTCTCTTTCCTGCAGAAGGGAAGATAGCCTGTGAGTTGCAGAGTCAGCGAAGTAGCTTTCAGACATCACTTTTGCTGCCTCTGCTCACAGCTGCCTCATTTATCAATTATGTGATTTAAAGATGTTTCAGCAGGTCTTGATTACAAAAAAATGCTTGCTCCTAAAACCGCAAACATAATCTTACTGTATGAGTGGCTGTAATTTTGACTAGCAGTGAGCAAATGTAATGCTCTGCTTTTTAACCCTACAGAGTCTGAAGGAAAGGCTGATAGCTCCACGAGATTAATTCCTATCTGCAGACTACACAGAGCAGGAACAGAGGCTTCCCCGTGGCACTGCCACATGCTTTAGAATCCTAGCTCAGAAAGGAGCGGAAAAAACTAGGCAGGAGCTCAAGCCTTCTGTTTTTTTCAGCATTTGGAGGCAGAAGGACTCATTCTACAGAGAAAAACAATGCAGGTGCCAAATTAATGGCAAGCACTCACACTACAACCAGTCTAGTTTCTTTTGTCACACCAGCGGTCTCAGGACAGTTTTAAGGCTTCAGCAATTGCTACTACACAGACTAAACCAGACCATGCCAAATTAGTTCCTAGTGCAAATCCAGTAGGCATGCAGTTTCATATCATGGATAAGCAAATTACTAGCTTCCACTGCCAAGCAGGCAAGGAGGTCTTGCTCCCAGTTCCCTCCTTCCATAATCTCAGCATCCCAGCAGAAGCCATCCCTTCCTCATACCAGCTCTGCTGCTCATCTGCTTTAACACAAACCAATTCAACACCCTCAACCAGCCAAAAAAAAAATGTTAACATCTTGCCAGGTGTTTTTTTCACTTTGTTGCTATTTTACTGAGTGGAATTTGGCCTCTCATGTGATCAAACAAACACCAGAATCAACTCAAAATAACTAGTGGGAGTAAAGAGCAGCAAGCTGTTCATTTGGCTCAGGCTGTCTTGTGAAACTATACATTAAACTAAAAAAAAAAAAAAAAAAGAAAGAGAGGAGTTGAATTCTTCCAGAAGGAAGTGCTGCAACTACATATCCCTAGGAATGGGAGCTTCACCTTCAATCAGTGGCCATCTTAAAACAACACATGTAAAGATATTAGTCTCTGAAGTCTCCTGATTTTTTAAATCATAGAAT